CTGCTGGTGGAATCAAACCCTCAACTCTTGCATTGGAGGACGACTGCTCTAACCACTCAGCCACAGCCGCCCATAGCATCATATGTTGCTGTTGGTTTTCTGTCATCTGACACGGCAAATTAAACAAAGACGAAGAAGCGACTGGATGTTCGTTCTGTAGCTGAAGACAGGCGTTGTTCCAAGATTAAAACTGCACGAGGCTGATATTAAAACTATTAAAGCTCGGATCAATCCATATACCCCTACAGCACTTACGTAAAAGTCAGATGGAATGCAACATGTCTGTTCAGTTCTGTGAAAACCCATCACATACAAACCCAATTCTGTGCCACATAAGGATTTGAGCTGCATTTGCCTGCAGTCTGAATGTAGCCGCACTCTTACGTTTGGATAAATTTAGGTGTTTTTATCAAACACAATAAAGTACTAATAATCACAAATATTCCAGTAGTTTTTGTACACCTGGAAAAAGAGCCAAAGACAGACACCGACAGGTTTCCCTCAATGTGGAGGAGTCACTCCACACGTGCAGTAATATAATGAAGTGATCCGGAGAAGCCAGAGTGGTCTGGGTGTAAACACTAGCTGTGATGTGCGGCAGAAACCAGGTCAGGAGAACAAGAGGAAATTGAAATGTCACTACAAATCAAAAGCCCTTCAAGGAGAAGGGTCCAATTTAAGCTCACGCTGACAGACTTTCAAAGAAATTCATTCCATTCGGATGTCATGTCTGGATGGATTGCAAACGCTCCACTGAGATGAAAACACAACAATTTAAAGTGGAGGCTGAGAAAGAATTACGTTTCTAAACAAACAACAACAGAACACTGCGTAACGCCATCATGTTTAGTATAGCACCTTACAGAACGGGATAAAGGCACTCGCGCAATGGGAATGAAACGAGCTTCTAAAAGTGACAAGCAGAACAGGGTGTACAACTTTGCCACCAATGAGCAGGAGCAGTGAAGCCCGAGTTTACTAAGTTTATACTTTGAAACAAACGGGACAAAGATCTCGCACACAAACACAAGTCTAAAGAACTGAATGTAGCTGATGCCTAACTATCCCAACCTGGACTAGATCTTCCCTTTTAATCATTTCACCAGAATTCATTCCTAAAACAATGACACGAGCACAAAGTTGGAATCCAATGTTCCCAGTAACAACTTTTTAAACACTGCATTTCATCAAATGAGTGAGACATGGACTTTCAGATAACTGCGTCCCATAAAACAAGCTCGAGTCACTAACTCCACAAGTTCATGCAGCACTCTCAACTCCATGGCCACAGCTAACCTTCACACTTGTACCCTTACCTCTTCTCTACGACTTCCAGAGTGAGGTGCAGCAGTTCCCTCTTGACCTTTTCCCTCTTTTTGATCATCTCTAAGATGGTAACAGCTCGACTCAAGTCCCTGCGCAGCTTCAGCATCTTCTCATACGACGCCTCGTCGTTCTTTCGATTCTGAAAATGAAACGATTCATCAGACTCATTTGAAAGGCTGTCATTTATATTAAGATATAGTTTTAAATACAGTTACTGCATTTTCACCTATATTTTTCAAGCTTTGCTCTTGAAATTACACGAGTACTTTCAGGGCAAAGTATTCAACCGGATGACTGGAATAACTTAATATCAACTTCACAGTGCTCTCATGCCTCAAAGCCTTTCAACACAGGTGTACACTCCATTTCAAATATGGGTGGTTTTCTTGATATTTAGGTTGTGAAATAAAATTAGGGCACTACCTTCCTGGTTTGCATTTTCTCTGTTCGACGGCGGAAGGCCACGTAAGGGTCGCTGGTGCTGGAGCCATCCCTCTTCTCCTGTTTGACGCTTGGGATGAGGGAGCCACTCTTGCATGTTTTCCTTTTGCGGCTCCAGTAGTCAAACACCTCCTTGATCAGCTCGTCGTCCTCCTTCAGCAGCAGTTTGGCTTCCTGGAGACTGACGGGCTGCAGAAACAACAAGGATGTGCCAGAATGAGGGCAAAGGTCACAAGAACATTAAACTCTGGTTATAATAAAAACTGCTACACCAGTGTCTGTCTATTCTAGTCCTAGATTGCTGCTTAAATGCTGAATACATTTACAGCTAATAACTGCAACGTTTACACTAATTTTAAATCAATAAAACCACATTAAATTAATATGTTTGACTCTTGTTTAGCTCTGCAATGTAGGAAGACAAACATATTCATTTAATGGGGGTTTATTTTTAGGCTGTCATGGCAAAAAGAAAAGTGTGTCCTCTCCTTGTACTTTTATATTGATGGAAAGCTCTCAGAAAATTATTTAAAATGTGATTGAATATTGACAATAGTTTAAAAAAGTATATAAAGCCAAATAATACTTGATTTATACCAACAGCGGTGTTTCCCCTTGTATAGACAGTTTTTGAAAAGGGGGGCAGGGTCTGGTTATTCGGTTCAGTGTGAGGGAAGAGGCACCGTGAGCACTACTTGTAGCTTTTTAGCTAGTGCGCCTGCACTGTACGCAGCAAACTTAAGGCTCCAGTACACTGCCGCGTACGTCTGTTCACGCGTACGTGCGCCTGCACTGTACGCAGCAAAC